GTAAGATTATGCTTCAGGGCCCCTATTTGAAACAATTAGTAATTAGTAATTAAAATATTATTGGGAATTACTCGGGAAATCCAATAGCCTGGGGCAGTTTATCCTCTGACGTAGAAAACTTCCCAAACTAGTTCAAGCGTTTTTGGGTGAGTTGAAAAAAAATGGAAAAAACCTTTGTTATTTCTATGATATCAGGTATAGAAGTAACTGATACTTATATAACATCAGTCAAAAAAGTATCAGTTATATTCGGAAATCCAGGGACTGAACCCACAGCATAACCGAAGAGAAGTTGCGAAACGCTTCCAGCTTATAGCAAATGCACTTGTATTCGGTTTGACTAAGGACATACGGGCGGACAAGGCATAGAAATGAGGACTACTAAAAGAAAGTTCTAGGAAAGGAATGAAATTGACATGACTGAGAGGTGAGAAATCTGTTCAATTGTTGCAGCCTACATCATATCTGCAGCAATCATATCTGTGGAAAATTACATTTATCTGTATGTAACTCATAATGTACATACCAGTAAATAACAAAGATAAATATTATTTATCAAAGTTACATAGACAAGTAGGAATTTGGGACACCTAGGTCACAAAAAATGTCCCCCTTCGATTCCTTCCACTGTCATATCCACAAGGTGCTCTAGACCTATTAATTACAAATGAAATATACATCACCAGGAATTCTGGTAAATATATAAATTTGTGGATTGTATATTAATATTAATAAATGATTATATATACACACATTTACATAACAAAAGGAGAATATATCTAAATATCACTCACCAATTTGCCTGGAGATTAAGATGTATCATACTCAGAAAACCCCCCTGTCTACAGTTATGATAATAATACTGGCCAGAACTATAAACATAAATATAAAGACATGACTTAGCTGGGGTAATATCCTTTTTTCATCTAATTACGAGTCCTGTCCAGTCGCCTGATTCTCTCGTTATGCAGGACTGCACATCCAACAATTTCGGCCCCTATTTGAGAGGTGTCAGCCCAATTTTAACCTCTAGAGCACGAAAATTCTTCCCATTATTCACTAACGTTTGTGTTGTCTCAATTCAAACATGGCGAGTCTCCTCTGCACAGGCGCAGAAATTTCCCATTTTTTATAACATAATTTTTATTAAATACAGTATGGCCATCTATTTACATATAGCTACTGTATTTCTGGAAAATATATACAGTATTTTCCACACTGTGGCCGGGCAGAGGTCATTGCTAAAAGACTCAAATTGCTCATTTGGCAATGGTGGAGGACCTGGGTACATATAGGATCTAGCATACACACGGCGACATATTACACAAGATTTAATCACTCTTTTTACACTTTGCCCCCTTTTTGGGAAACCAGAAAGTTTCCCCCCAATACAAATTTTAAAGGGATCTTTTTACCCCCCCCCTTCATTACATTTTTTGGGCATTTAAAACAATTAAATTTGTTAGATGATGAGTTTTGGACAGTAAGATAGGGTACTTAGCATAATCACCCAATGCAGCATTTTTTAACCTACCTCCGCACCAATTACATTGTTCTCTAAATACAGCCCCAAATTTTTCTATTATCGACCTTTCACATTTTTCTTTCATCACAACTTAAACTCATTTCCCTAATTTTTTTTTGTACCCTCTTTATCCAATATTCAAAAGGATGTGAAAACATATGAGATATTCATCTTTTTAGAAATTTAAACACCAACTTAGTTACATTATCATTTTGGGAAAAGAAAATACCTATTTTATCAATGGCAAAGGAGGAAAAACTAGGGGGGTGCCACATAATTTCAAAGGAGAAATTATCGCCTTTTGTACACCCCAATTAGTTTTATTTACCAACCATTGGTCCTTTAAACCATGATACGCATTTAAAATTTTTGCATAAGGTAAACCTGGACAAGAAATCAGGGGATTCTCCTCACCGGTTATGAAAAATTTTAAACATATCCCGGCCCAAAACTATTATACTTCCTTGCATTGATTAATTTCAAGCGACTCTGTTTTGTAGACACAATTTTACGTTTCCTTACAAAACCATTGAAAGGATCCCTCTTATCAGCCCAAATTTAAAGGTCACTAATATTTTCTCCTGAAACTTATTTTTTATATAATTAGCAAATTTTGGGCCCCTACAAAAATGGCTTTAATTCCAACGAGGTAAGGTATTGATTTAATTGGAGAAACTTTCCCCTTAGACATAACAAGAGAAATAACACTTTACATTGAAGAAAAACAACTGCTCTTCCCAAATTTTTTAAGCATCACAAAAAATTGGAGTACTTTTTTTCCCTTTGGTTGGCCCTGGCGTGGGAACCCAACTTTGTTTTTTTCAAAATCCCCAATTAATTCACCCCCCCTGTTAATGAATTCCCAGGTAGAGTTTCACCCAAGCACATTTATTTCCATGTTCCTGTATTAAAAATTTTTCCTTTTATATTTAAGGGGGACAAAAACCAGGGGGGATCAAAACTTTTGGGAAAAATTCAGCAAGCAAAAACTCTTTAGTTAATTTTTGGGCATCGAATTATTGGATTTAACATAAAAATCTCTCTCAGTATCCCAAAAGGAACCCCATTCATTACTACTTTTTGGATTTATCCCGGGGAATCTTTACTTTTTTTTTTCTTAATTTGGACGAATTACTTTCCCCCCCTTTTTGCTTTTATTTTTTATTAGCCTCCCATAAGTCATTAACTTTTCCTTTTTCATTTTGACGTCACACCGGAAAATTTGTCACATAAAATTTTTTGTCATACTTTACTAGGGGCCCCCCGAAAATTTAAGGTGTGCATTTTCGTCGCTTAAATAAAACGGACTGGATTAGCACCAAAAAATACCTCCAAAAGCAAAAGGTTTTCAGAGGCAAAGTGGGTCATGGACTTTCGGGCCATAAAAAGGGGGTACAATCCAGTCAGCCTCTTGAAACCAACCTTAGGAAAGCTTTACTATTCACCCGAAAGGCAAAATTTTTAAAACCCTGAATTTTAAAAAGATATCTCCAAATTTTTTTCCGTCGACGACGGACTGTCATCAAAAAGTCTTTTAAATTAAATGGGTACATTTTTGTTACTCTGGCATAAAATTAAAAAAATCCCAAAAGGAGTGGTCTTAGAACCCTTTTTCACCGATTTATGGCAAATAGGGGCCAAAATTTTGGGCTTGCTCAGGAGGTACCTCTTTTAAATTTATTAATTAACTGCCCAATTATATCATTGGGGGCAGTTAACAATTCTGGTGTTTACTCAGTTCTCGGACTGGCCTTTAACTGTCCATATGCCTTTCTGTAATTAGGGGAAATTTGGGAGGGTCCAGTCTCCCGGAAGTCGTACCAGTATTGTCCAGATTCAAATTTTAAAATCTCTCAGGTTTTGCTCCTGAGAAAGAATGTCGGGGATTTTCTTCATTACTTTTTATTCTATGCGTCTATTTCCCACAATTTTTGCACTGGCAAAAAACCCCATCCCTAGGGAAGTTTAAAACTGGGGTACGATTTCATGGTAAACACCATTATGGTATTTGTAGTTTCCTTTAGTCATGTTTATTTTTACGAAATCCTCCCTGCATTAAGGGCCCCCTGCAGTCTTGGGAAGGGTGACACCACATTTCTTTCCCATCCCCTTTAAAAAAAGGAAAGCATAATAGTCACTCCCTATCAAAATATTTTTTGGGCCTACAGAATATCATTACACCAAAGGTGCAAAATTTACTTTATGTGAAAGTTTTTCTTTTGTTTTTACAAAGCCCTACTGTAAAATTTCTCTGAAAGTCTACTAAAATTTTACTGCATTAACCTTTTTTTTATCATTCCCCAAACCCTGACAGTTAACAAAACGGTCAAAACAATTGAGCTTTTTATCTGGAGAAAACCAGAAAATTTTTAAAAGTTGTGGGATCTCCCATCTGTACTTTCATACCTCAAAACATTTACGTTTTGAAAGTACCCGGGATCCCGATCCAAAAATGCAGCTACATTTTTTTATTTATGCCTTTTTTCGTCAATTTTTTTTGTGTAAAAACAGGGAAGGCTCTTCAGCAAAACATTTTTTTTAAAATTAGCTGCAATTCTTACATTAGCTCTGTTTGTTCAGGATTGTCAACATTATCATTATTTTAACTTTTCATATAGCCCTTTACAATGATATATGGTTCTTCCTTTTTGAATTGATAACATTTTTTAATTTGGGATGACAAACCTTTTCATTGTGATTACTAAACATGATACATCTGTCAAGTTCCCCCAATCTTTCAACTTTTTCTTCCATGAATTGTATCATTGGGGTTTTTAGAAAAATGGTACCCCTTTCAGAAGAGACAATCTCCTTTTTTTGATGGTTTTTGTTTAAATGGTTACTCTTAAGGGGGCTTATTTTTTTCCTTTTGGAAATCATTATTTCTGATTCCTTCTACTTGATATGTCCCCATGCAAATATTTTTAGGAAAGAATTTTTTTATTAAAAAATTGGGATAATTTTTTTTCCCTTTTTGAAACTTGACAGTTTCCTCAGAGTTATTAAGTGTTCATCTTTAAAAGATTAGTTGGCGGTCTGCAATCCCAATTTAAATTTTTGTAGCTAGTCTTTTTTCCCCCCAGTCCAAAATAACCTTGTGATACTTGTTCGGAGCCATCAAAGGGTTTTTAAACTTTTTTTTTTTTTTTTTTTCTTTTTTTTTTTTTTTTTTTTTTGGGTTTCCCTTTTTAAAACTGTAAAAATTTAAAAGGACTAATTTTAAATTCTGATTCCTAATATTTTTTCTAAAAAAATTTTAAGTGCCCTTTAAATCAAAAGCTTCCTTGAAAAGGGATTTTTTGGGAAAATTTTTTATTAATTTTCTTTCCCGTCCTTTTGGGGAAAAAATTGTTCACAGGTAGCCTTTCATCCAGCCTTTTAAAAAATTGACCCTTTTTTCCCATTTTTTAGTTTAAAAAGTAAAAAATTCTGGGTGTTTTTGGCGACTTTTGTGGGCGACTGAAATTTCCTGGGC